CCAAGGGACACCAAGGATTGCCAGCAAGCACCGGAAGCTAGGAGAGAGGCATGGAACCCATTATCTCTCACAGCCTCTAGAAGGAGCCAACCCTGCCAACACCTTGATTTGGAACTTTTGGTCTCCAGATCTGTGAAAGAATAAATTTCTGTTGTTTTAAGCTACCAAGTTTGTGGTAGTTTGTTATGGCAGCTCTAGGAAACCAAGCTCATGACACCAGCTCATTACAATACTTTTTACTGGTTGCAACTATCAACATTTACAAAATGTGGGTTTGAGAAACTTTCTTGAGGAAATAAGGAAGGCTTAACAACAGGTTGCTGAGTTCCCATTTCTACACCGTGGGTCATAAATCCTTAAGCAAACAACGCTTATCAAAGGACATTAACACAGTTTTCAGAAACTGGAGATACATCTATTAGCATTTTACTCATTGGACAAAAAAGTGTGTGGACAAAGCAACATCAATGTGCATAAGCTATTTAGTCTTTTAGAAAACTTTGACAGTCACGAAGTGATAGCAGAGCTATTTTACCATCTGTAGGTGAATGGCTTAGAGACTAACAATAAAGGGTGGAGAAATCTTGAGTGTGAGGACACTGCCTGGCACACAGAGGGCACACAGTAAACATTTGTTCGATATATTTGTTGATTGAGTAAACGAATATGATAGAAACTGACGGAGACCATGTGCAAGATTAAGGCACCCAGAAAGCATTTTATTTGTATTTGTATTGCATTTGTTTTTAAAATCTCTTCCTTTTCTAAGCTAATACATTTTTTAGGGGAGAAATTTTTCAGGTGGAGGAGCTAGGGAGAAATAAAACCTAATAATGCAGAAACTCGTGAGATCTAGGATAAGTGTTTGACCAAACCACTTTGGTTTGTCTTTATTTCAAGATATGACATTTGCTTTTTTAATTTATAATTGACCTTGAGAGCTTTTTTAAAAAAATGCTTATTAAAAACTTCAAAACAAAATTGCAAGCTATGTCTTTTAAAACAAATAGCTATGAAGAATCAGAGAACTCAATTTCTTTAAATTCAGTGGTTTGCTTTTCTCTCGAAAATTTTCAGAGATTGGCTAGCTTGCTGAAAGCACAAGTTTTTAAAAAATCATTTCAAGTATAGTCATAAAAGCTTATTCTAAATTTGTAGGATATAA